TCGCGCCGCCAGCGCTGGGTGCCCCCCGCAGCCGGCCGCTGCGCTTCAGACACGCTTCCCGGGCTCCAGCAGAATAAAACTCGGGGTTTTTTTGCTGAAGCCGCTGCTGCATGTAGCCACTTTCCATACCGCCGATGACTTAAGTCTTAGTCTGCAGCTCAGTCTCCGCATGGTCTTCGCCGGGTCCCAGTCACACCGCTGCAGGGTGTATTTTTTATCAGTGTGTGTGATTGTTGTGTGTAATTGCTCACCCACACCTGCAGTATAAATAATCTTTTTACGAACGTACAGAGGGTGAAGTGTTGGGCACGGTGGTTTTCCAGGGGTGTGTCCTTCCATTTTCCTATATCTATATGTATACGAGTATGTGTTATACGCACACAGGCACATGCAAACATCTGATCAGATCAAATTGTTTAGGATTTCTTTGTCTGCTCTGACCTTGTGGATTGAACATGCTTTTCTGTAAATAGCAGGACTGTGGTGTTCAAGGGTAGCTCTGTTTCTGTTGTAAAGGATGTAATTGGGAATTACAGCCATTATTGATTAAAGCGTAAGTCTGCAGAAGAAAGGGCAGTGACTCGCACTTCTTCCTCTCCCCATCCAAAATCAGTAAAGCTGAAAGTCTCTTTAAAAAGCATATTTTAATTTAAACTTGTTTTTCCTTTTGTGCATGTGTGGGTATGATATGGTGTGAGCAAATGAAACAGCTGACCTAAGAAAAATCCATTTTTCTTGGCACAGGCGTTGCTTTTCAAATAGAGTTTCTGAATTGTGAGTTCTGCAGTCATTTAAATCTGAATAACAGGTTCTCATTGGAATTAGAAGTAAAATAATGGACTTTTTTTTTTTTTTCACATGGAAACATTGGTGATACAATCTTCATCATAAACTGTGTTCACTAAGTCATATTTTGTGTTTAACCTAGAAGAGAAGTGTCAGTGAAATGTCACAGCAAACGTTCTGTTCGTGGAAGTCAGGTGGATGGGTGTATGTATGTATACTAAGGAGGAAAAATGTAGATTGGTCTTTTTCTTTTATGTATATATACACACACACATCTAATGCACCATATATGTATGTTAGGTACCTTTAAAGTATTTACAAATATGAACCTTGCATGTATACATAAGCAGATGATCCTGTGACAATGTAACAAAATAAGTTGGGAGCTGTAACCAAAGCAGGGCAAGTAGTTTCCACCGAGGCCCCCCACTTGCCTTAGGTGCTTGTTCTAGTCATGCATGAGGACTGCTCTGAGAAGTTGCTGAGCACATCCCCTGCAGCTTTGCAGCATCAGAGTCCAGCTGTATAATCACTGGTTTAATACAAACTTCTGTAAGCTAAAGAGCATTCATAAGTCTTCTGTATTTCTTCTTGCTGTTTCACAGATGATCTGAATATGATTTTTTTTTTCTTAATGGTCACACTGTTATGAGTGGTTGAAACAAAGCTTGTGCTTGCTATTTTTTTTCTTTTTATTGGAAATCAATGGCAGACCACTTCTAAATTAGGTCTGTGTATCTGTGCTATAAATAAACTTACTGTGTTTTGCTGTGCTGCAGACAACTGCAAATCTAGGTGGCTCCTAAATTAAAAGAAATGTGTTTTGAACCTAGTGAACTTTTGATAATTTTTTTTTTCATTTATTTGTGAAGATTAATGTGCAATTTGTAGTACTTAGTCTTGTGTTGGTTGTAAAAAGGAACAGAAGTATCTATCTGCTTGATTTCATTTCAGAACACATGAACTTCCCTTTATGTGAACTCTGTTGAGGAACTGGGATTGTTTTGGTCAGAGCTGACGGGTTTTTGTCACCCTCAAACAGGGGAGACACCAAGTACAAATTTGTCCATTGACATTGAATTTGCCACTTCAGTGATAGTTTTGTAGGCAAAAGAAGCTGCCAGCTGTAACCAATTTGAATCTTAGGCCTAGAATATTAATAATATGTCTTGCAAATGTTACAGAGCTGAAGTAGCTTGCTCATGGAAAAATACTAGTTTCCTGTCTCCCTCTGATCTTTTTTTAATTTCATGACATTTGAGCACTTCTGTTGGTTCAGAATACGCAAAGTATTTGCACAAGGACAACCAAAGTAATTTATTACAAAACTTAGACTGTAGGGA